GCGTCCCGGCGGCGGACGAGGAGCGCGCGGCCCTGCTGCCTCGCGCCGCCTCCGAGCCGAGCGTCTCCCGCTTCCTCGCGCGGGGCGGCCCCGTCTTTGCGCCATTCTTCAGCAAGGCCGCGCTGCTCGCGCTCAACGAGGTGCTCGCCGCCCTCGAGCTGCCCGCCGCCAACGCCGCTCCGACGCGGCCCGGCGTGGCGACGGCCGCGTGGCTGCAGCGGCTCGAGTCGCGCGGTAAGCTCGCCGAGCTGCGGCTCGTGCTGCGAGCGGCGCTGCCTCCCGACGGCCCCGTGGTGCCCGCGCCGATGGTGCCGGCGGCAGCGGCCGGAGACGCCCGCGGCGAGAGCTGCGCCGGCGGCTGGCAGTACCCGCTGTGCGTGACGTGGCTCCGCGGCTTCCCGCACATGGCTCGCGAGGGCGGGCTGCGGCTCACCTTTGTGCCGTGCTTGCTGCCGCGGCCGCCGGCGACGGCGGCGGGGCTCGAGAGGATGGAGACCATCGAGGCCGAGCGGTGCATGCGCCACCCCCCCTCTCTCTGCCCGCCCTCTCTGCGCTCCCTCCCTCGCCTCCCTCGCCTCCTTCGCCTCGCCTCCCTCGCCTCCCTCACAGCGCCTTACCTTGCAGCGCCTCACTGCAGCGCCTCACCTCGCCCGCCTCGTGCGGCCCAGGCGGCGCACCCTCCGGCGGGCGCAGCTCATGCAGCAGGGCGAGTACGCCGCCATCCGAGCCGACTCGCAGCTGAGCCGACCAATCGCTGGTGGGGCGGTGCACTCGCATCCAGAGCAGGTCTGCTCACCCGCGTGCACCGTGCCTCGCACTGTTAATGCCGTCTCACGAGGGATGTCAAGAGATGCGAGGGGCTGCCTTTCCCTTGCCACTGTGTGTGTGTGTGTGTGTGTGTGTGTGTGTGTGTGTGTGTGTGTGTGTGTAGATCTGTCTGCGCCTCACCTCGTGCCACCTCCGAGCAGGAGGAGCAGATGCACCGCGACTACGACCGGAGCGCGTACGCCACCGTGGAGGAGCTGCAGGCGTACGACCTGCTCACGGCGCGGCTCAACGCTCGAGCCGTCGAGGCCATGCGCCTCGAGATGGAGGGCGGGGAGGACGAGCGTGGGAGGGAGGCGAGCGGGCAGAAGCGTGGCAGGGACGCGGAAAGGCAGATCTCAGTGTGACCTCGGAGCACTTGGGAGTATAAATAAATAGACGCGTCAACCCCTTTAAACATTAAAGAAAGAAACCAACCCACACGAGGGATAGGGGAGGAGCAGGAGGACAGGGTCCACACCTGCACGAGCAGGATTTTGGGACGATCAGGGGGACAGGGGGGCTCTCCTGCTCCTGACAAGGGACACGACAGGCTCGCATGTATGTATGTAGTAAGGTGAAGAACAGTCAGGCTCGGACTGGACACCAACGCGGTATGGGTGGACGCAAGACAGATGATGACGACACGCACGAGCGACACACAGACACAAACAAGCTCACAAGACACACAGCCAGCGGGCTGCCACACATCCTGAGTGGGCGTACACATCACTCAGGCCACGTCCCCCCTGTCGCCCCCCCCAGCACTCCAAGGTGCGAAGAGACAAACAACAGGCTCGCAGGCGCGGTCAACCCGGAAGCCGCCCGGGTGCCGCGAGTTTTCTCAGCACCGGTGAAGCCCATGTCACTTCCATGGTCTCGCCGCGTCATTCTGCTCGCCCTCCTGCTTCATCAGACTGGACACGCCCTATCCTTGGCTCCGATCAGCTGGCGTGGCGGCCGAGCACTATCAACGACCGTTCAGCCACGCCACGTGTCGCCTACACTGCTCGCAAAGAAGAAGGGCGGCGGAGGCAAGAAGAAGAAGGGCGGCAAGGGTGGCAAGCAGTCGGGCTTTGCGTGGGCGTCCTCGTTTGAGCTCAAGCCGTGGGAGAGCTCCGCGCTGCGCGAGATTGCCGTCAGGTTGCCGCACCTTTCAGACACGCACCGGGAAGCCGCTCCACCCTGCGCTGGCAGACGCTGCGGACGTGCCAAAGGCGCTGTGGACGCTCCCTGTGGCCTGTGTGATTGTCGGGCACCCGACCGAGGCAGCGAGCAGCGATGCCCAGCTGCCGGCTGCCGATGATGCTGCGGAGGTGGCGGCGGCGGACAGCACGGCGGCGGCTTCGGAGGCCGTCTACGTCTATGCCAACCTCGCTGCGATCGAGGCGCTCGGCTTCGCAGACTGGCAGTCTGCAATCGGCGCGCCGTCCGCCCTGCCGGAAGAGATGTCTAAGAAGTACGAGTCAGGCTACAGCAAGAAGGCCGGCTTGAGGCCAGTGACTCTGCTGGACGCGTCGCGGTGGGTGCTCGAGAAGGCGGCGGTGGAGGGCGGCAAGCTCGTCACGTCGCGCGTCGGGCTGTGCTACGCGTGGAGCGAGTGGCAGGACGAGGACGGGTTTGTGTGCGAGCCGGGCGGGAAGCGGCGCACTCCCGACCCCACGCCGGAGGAGCTGGCGGCAGCCATCGAGGAGAAGGGAGCAGAGGTGCGGCGCCTCAAGGAGGAGGAGGGGCTCGGCAACAAGGACCCGCAAGTGCAGGAGGCGGTGGCGGCGCTTTTGAGTCTCAAGGCTGCCGCCGAGGAGCTCGAAAAGAGCCCTGCCTAGCGCGTACTCCGGGCCAGGTCGAGAAAAGAGCGCGCCGACCGCAGGCCGGTCGCTCGGTGTATAGCGCGAACTCAAATGGCCGCACAGAGGCTGCACTGTGCTGGAAGTCGCCGTCGAGGTTACCGTATCGGAGTCGCCCACGTTTCTTGCGCTCTCTCATGCCTCGTTCACACGCCACACTGGTCACCGGACTCCCCGACTCCGACAGGCGACACGGCGACCCCGAAGCCGATGACGCATGACGGCGACCTAGACGGCGACGCGCCACCCTCGTCACCCCCGACACACGTCTGACTCTCGCCGCCGCGCAGGGTCGCCGACGGGATCCGTACTAAGTTAGTAAGTGTACACGATAAATACGCACGACAGTCAGGTCTCGATACGCAGACAGTCTTTTGTCACCTCGCATCCTCTGGCTTCTTTCGTCGCCACAAGAGCACTTCATCCTCCTCATCGAGCGCGCGAAGCCGTGCAGAAACACGCTCCTGCGCCGCAATCTCTGCAGGCGAGAGTTCCTCAGCTTCGCTATCCGAGCTCGAGCCGTTGTCGCTCTCCTCTATGGCCTCTGCCGTCTCGCGCTGGGGCCACACAAAGACGAGCTTGAGCTGGACACAGACATTAGTCAGCGCAATGACGCCTCCAGCAACGGCCAGGAGCCCGCAGAGGAAGAGTGCGGTAACCACCGACGCGTCGTCACCAGCGGTGGCGAGTGTCTCCATGCGCAGACGGTGCCACAGCGACAGCCCGGTGTGGAGCTGCGAGGTCAAAAGAATTTCACAAGTGCTGCAAAGAATTCACGGCTGCGCTGCGAGAGCAAGGGGGCGGCAGGCGGCGGCGGCGTCGCAGAACGAAGCAGAGAGCGACGCGACAGAGGATGAAGCGACAGGAGAGAGAACGACGAGAGTGGGACGGCCGCGAGGTAGGTGGCATGAAGGTTGCAGCGAGAATCGGCGAGGGACTGCGAAGAGAGATAGGAAGAAGCAGACGCCCAAGGGTTAGGGTGGGCGACGGCTAGCACCACGCTCCTCTCCTTAAAATCCCTGTGTGGTGGCGGCGCGCCGTCCTCCCATCCCTCCCTTGGGGTGTCTGTTTTCTTTCTTTCTTTCTTTCACGGCGCGAAAGCGGATACAAAACAAGAACACAACGTACTCTCTCACATGACAAGCGATCCTACGACAGCGATTGTGGGGACTACATGATCCGTACGTGAAGGGTGGAGGGGCCCGTCCGCGGAGCTAGGCGGTACGGGCGCCCTCCGCTCCAACCACTCTGGCTCCACTCTGCGGCCGAGGGTAAGAGGACGTCTGCCGCTTGCTTGTTCTTGACGTCGTTGACCCAGTTGGCACGCCCAGGGGATTTAACCCAGTCGGCACGCGCATTGCGCGCCTGCTTGTTGATGTTTTCGGCGTCGCCTGCAACCGCCGCCATGGAGATCTGCTGCGTGTGGTGGACGACGAAGGAGGAGGCGCTCGCCGACGCCGCCCCGTACACCGTCCGGTCCGTGTTGATGCCCGCCGCTTCCTTGGCGAACACGTGGATGAACTGCTTGGTGGGCGGCGCAATGCCACCCAAAGTTTCCACGAGCACCAGCCGCGTTATGGCTTTCTTGACCCACTTCGCGTCGTAGTACTGCGCCCCCATCCATTTCCAGCCTGCACTCTTCTTGACCCATCCGTCTCCATACGCGTGGTCTTTGACCCATCCCTTTCCAGTCGAGTGGTCGAGCGGTCCGTCCACCTGACGGCCACGCTCCTTGCACCCCACGACCGCCGTCAACGTCTTGTCCAGCGTGTTTCCAAACCCGTACTGCATGAATGCTTGCCCAGGTGTGAACAACACCTCGTGACCACGGCGCCGCAGGCGCCTGTTGATGGGTCCAGGTGATAGCCCTGGATGGGCAATGCATACTCCTAGTTGGACCTCAGATCGCCCGACCGCGTCCCGGTGCTCTGTGGTCGGATCTGTGACGCCGCCGCACCGCGCCGCGGCCGGGGGCCCTCCGGAGGCCGAGGATGGCCATGGCGGACCGGGACGAGCTCTGGGAGGTAGAGTGTCAGTGTATATATTGTAGAGGCCAACCTTGTGCACAATATATCTCAATCTAGCTAAGCCAGGGGAGGCGATACCGCGGCCGTACAGCAGCTTGATGGTGCTTCGCCGGCGTGCATCCCGGAGCGGTGCCGAACGGGCGGTCCGGGGGAGAAAACTCAGGACAACGCCGACACCGCTCTGATTCGACTTTTGACTTCAAACAAAGACGGCGGCACGTGCCGCGCCGTGGCGCGTGCCGCGCGTGCATCGGAGAAGGGTAGTTCGTCGTGTTCACGCCGGGATCGTGTCCTGAGTAACCTGGGGTCCTGGGCAACCATTCAGTAGAGGTGGCCCACCGACGCCACATTGCCACCTTTGTCCCACGAGC